CCGTCCTTTATGGGGGAGGCTGAGAGACCAAACGCAGTCTCACGTGTGGTGGAAACCCACACAGCCACCTACTTGGTGAGTTAGTCCCTTGTAGATCACCTGGAAGAACAGGCCAGGATCACTAAGGCTTGTTCACGCACAATTCCTTTAGCCTCAACCTTCTCATCCTTGATGATAAGAATCTTGTTTTTTCTCCATTGTGGAATGGCATCTTTCACATGGGAATTTCAACTTCCACTTTTAAGAAACAGCATGAAGTTCAGAGTGATCTTCTTGTAACTTCTGCTTTCCAAGTGCTTTGAACTTAAATAGTCAATATGCCAGAATAGCATATTTTAGCCACTTCAGGTCTGTTTATTTTTTTTCACTTCATGCATTGCTGTTATCATAAAAGCTCTAGCTCCTGGGCTCCAGCAGTCCTCCTGCCACAGCCTCCAGAAAAGCTGGGACCACAGGTGTGCGTCACCACACTCAGCTAATTTAAACTTTTTTTTTTTTTTTTTGGTAGAGATGAGGTCTCACTCTGTTGTTCAGACTTGTCTCAAACTCTTGGCCTCAAGCAATCCTCCCGTCTCCACCTCCCAAAAGCACTGGAATTACAGGCATGAGCTACCATGCCCGGCCTGTAACTATATAAGCTAATCGTGCCAGAGATCGGGAAACATTAGCCACCTACCCTCCATGCTGCCTCCATAGAAAGGAACTGCATGTGCTGGGAGTAAGGCAGAGCTGGGAGGCTTTGTGGCCAGCTGGGCTTTGATCCCAAATCCCAGTATGAGAGTCTCTGATGCTCACTCACCTAGAATGCACAATGAGGGTCACTTTCTACCCAAATCACAGAACTTACATGGACAGAATCAACGCAAGCCTATTCTTTTCACTGCTGTCTCACTCAAATGTTGAATTAATGAAAAACATAGCAGACCCCATTGGTGCCAGCCCAGACCTTCTCTGGACCCTTCTACCAGCTCTGAGCAGCCCAGCCCCTGAATGCTTTGCTGCTAAGGGCTTGCCCTGGGCACGGGGCCTTCCCCGGAGCACTGGAAGAGCTTGAGAACACATCCCCTGCCCTTCCCGCCCCTCCAGCTCCCGGCCAGTGGCTGACCAGCGCCAGAACACAAAACCCCACACCTCTGCCTTGGGCAGCACAAACTCTGAGATGCCATCTCTGCTTCAGCACACCCCTCAAGACCAAGACACAGCTGGGATGTCACCCAAGATCACACGCCTGCCCAGGCTTTGCCCCACACCCTCACCAGTACTTCTCGAAGCACTTCCTCCGTAAATCACTGGCACTCATGCTCAGCGCAGGCTCTGCTTCTGGGCCAGTCTGACCTACGGGGTCAGATTGGAATTATGAATACAGTGGTGACACAAACAATGCAGCCCTTGCCTTGGTGAAGCTAATGGAGAAGAAGAGCTATTGATCCATTGGTTGAATTCTTTCCATATGCCAGGCATGGAAGGAGGGGTGAGTACCTGTATTCATGGATGAATTGGCCAAAGTAGGGGTGTTTCCTCAACAATCCCTTATAGACGCTCATGCCCTGTGGCCCATTCCCAGTGCCCCCATTTCTCAAAGGCACTGTGCTGCCTTCAGACCCAGAGCCTAAAGAAAGAGTGTCCATACTTAGTGGCAGGTGGACAGCCAGCCTTAGGGCTGTGCCTTTGTGCCAGTTCTCTTGGGAATAAACACATGCTCCCAGGAAGACAGAAGTTCAATTCCCCGTCTTCCCCTGAGAAGGTAATCTCTTGAGACTCTGCCTTGAAGAAGTAGGTTGTTTCTGATGTTTTTGTGTTTGTGAAGGGTTTGTGTGTGTATGTGTGTGTATTTTCTTTTTGATTTTCCCTGGGAAAAAAGAACTGAGCATCTGTGAAAAGCTGTGGGGACAAGCTTAGGGGATGAAAGGATGTCTTTTCCCACCCTTCTGAGCTTCTCCAAGGATTGTGAAAGACAAAGAGCACCAGAGAAGAGGGAGGGTGGGCGGACACGAGCTCATCCTCCACCAGTTCCTCCTGAGCCCAGCTTGACAGGATGCCTTCCCACCCAGGTGACCCCACGGGAATGCAACGGTGCCCCATGGCACTGCCTCACTCAGTGAGGAGGTTGAAGAACTTGCCTGAGGCTGCCCAGGTAACAAGGAACCAGGATTGAGACCCAGACCTGTCCACCTCAACAGCTGAGTTCTTCTTGCTGAGTCACAAACATCTCATAGATATAATTTCTGAAAGGACAGCACTGTTAGTAAGCCTTCTAGCATTTCTAAAAATGGAAAAATATCATGCACACAATGCCCTTTTGTATGCTTAATGCCCTGTGGCTTGACTGATTGTCTTTAAGAGTTTGTTTTACTGCACTTGAAAAGTACTGAGCAGACACAAAGGGGTGCGGCATAACCTCCTCCACCTCCACAGACCACATTCCGAGAAGTCTGATAAAGCCAGCCTAGCAGGAAAAAAGAAAAATACCCAACTCCTGTTACCATTACAACCATACAAGCCCAAGCCACTCATCCTTGGGGCCAGCACTTCTTTCTTTCCTGCATGCCCTTTCCTTTCTCAGAAAGTAAAATAAATTTCACGCTTCAAACCTATCGTAATCTTCATGTCAAGAATCCTTTCTGGTATGAGCTCCCTCCTTAACAATTTCACCCACCTTTTTAGACAGATCCTGTGAGAGTTAAATGAGATAACAGATGGTCACCACTTACACCTGAGTGTGAAGCACTGTGTAAATGCCACCTTGTATTGTCATTGCTGTCGTGGTGTTGCACCTGCTTTGGTTATTGATGCTGCTGCTGCTGCTGCTGCTGCTGCTGTTCCTGCTCATGCTGTTCCCGCTCATGCTGTTCCTGCTGCTGCTGTTGCCATTTGTGCGGACACTGCTGAGATGCTGTCATTGCTGTCACTACTGTGAATGCTGCCACACTGCTGGTTTTGCTCGAGTGTTATGCTGCTGCTGTTGACGTGGCCGTTGTCAATGTGGTTGGTGCTGTTGTTAGGATACCTGGGCAGAGTCATTGCTTTCGGCACGGACTTCTAACCCAAACTCGATTTAAACCGGCCACAATTTGCTAGTGTGCAAGAAGAAACGCATCCCCCGCCCTGGCGCTTCCCGAGAGGCGAGAGAATCCCCACGCTCGCCAGGAGGGAAGGCTGCGAGAGCGATCCATCTGCAGGGCGGGAGTCTGCCTACTTGGGGGTAAAGTAGGCGGAAGCCCATTGGCTGCTCACTCCAGGCACAGGGGCCCATGCAGCCTTTACGGCGGGCGTTCTCGTCTCCATCTGTCTCACTCCTATGTCTTCACTAGTTCAACACTGGGAGATGAAGAAAGAGGTACTGTTTTTCCCTCCAAGACACCAAGAAATTCTTTATAATATAATTCAATTCACTTTTCACCTTTCCAAAGAAGCCTTCCCTTATTTTTGTAGCCCACAGTGACCTCAGGCACCTGTGAATTCTGTAGCTCACTATTGACTCACATGCCAACATGCTGTGAAGTATTGAACCTCGCTAGACTGTGAGCTCCTTCAGGCTGAAAAATCTCTTGAACATCATCTTCACTTAACCTGGTGCTAGAAACATAGTGTGTGCTCAATAAATACTTGTAAAATGAAATAAGTTGGGAGCTTAAAACTTAGTGATGTTCTCATATGACTGAGTTTTTATGCCACCCTACCTCTTTGAATAAAAAATACTGTTTTAATAATATAGAATTTTTAAATAATATGTCCCAGAACTTATATACGAGGCATGCATGCTCTTCATGGTATAAAAATGGGAAGAATTTATTAACTCTTCACAAAAATGGCCCTAAACCATTCTATTTAAAGTTATTTCACTTTTAAGGCCCACCCGTTGGTAGCAACTTCTTACCATTTCATGCAATTGAATAAAAGCTTAAGTTCTGACCACATGGAGGCGCTGGCCAGACAGCAGGCTTCCAAAGCCAACTGTGAAGCCCCGAGGGGTTTCCAGGTAGGCATTCACTGACTCTGCGTTTCACAAATGACATTGTGCGGGCGTCGAGAGGGGCTGCCGGAACCGGGGAGGGTTCCTCATCTCTCTGGAGTGAGCGGCAAGACTGTGCGGGGTGCTCACCCTCAGCTCTCCGGGGTGCTCATTTATGCTTATTTATTCATTTAATTATTGTCTATATTTAAGATGTACAGCATGAGGTTTTGGTACACATAGTGAAATGATTACTACAGTCAAGCAAAGTAACATATCCATCTCATCACAGTGATCTTTCGTGTGTGAAAAGAACACCTAAAATCAACTGTCTTAGCAAATTTGTGGCACCCAATACAGTATGTTAAAGTATGTCCTGCTGCTGGACATTGGATCTTTAGACGTACACATCCCACATCACTGCAAGTTTGCACCCTTTAATCTGCAATTTCAGGATTTGTCAATGCCTGGATTGCCCACAAATTCCAGATGATTGGGGTTCCTAGAACATCTGACCACCTCACAAGTAAAATTCTTATTTAATAAAAGTGTTTTAGGCTCCTCATGGGTCTGAAAAAGGACATTCATTTAAGAAGGCTGTTGCACAGTGCTGTGAATGTGCCGAGAGAACGTCAACTCCGTGAAGGGCGGGAATTTTCAGGGGGTGTTCATGCGGTGTCCCTGATTCTAGAATGGTGCCTGGCCTACAGTAGATGCACCATTAACTAGTGGCAGGGTGCGTGAGTGAATGAATGAATGTCCTCTGGACACTGAGAAGCACCATAGAAAGTTGGGAGCCTGGGAGTTTTTGCATGACCTTCAAAGTTTAAAGCATTGCCCAGCAGAACCTGCCTCATAGCAACGGGAACTAAAGGGTTAATACCACTTCTGGGCATTTTCTCCCAGAGTATTGTCACTCAGTGCTAACAAATTTCTTGTGATCTATGTGTGACCTTGTTGGGAGGGGAGTGGTTGATAATACCCTCCTGCTAATTTTATCAAGTTAACATTAGTTTAGGCTTCTTGTTCAATAACTTCAAACACTAGCTGGTGTCTGCACAGGTTTATTTCAGATGCAATTGCACCAAGTGGAGGGGTCTTCCTGGCTTTGACATTGCCGCCAGCTGCACAGCTTTGATATCCTGGATTTCCCCCTGCAGCTCACAGTTATGTCACTTAGCACAGCCTCTGGCACAAAGGAGTGGCGGCTTCCCATCCAAATGAGCAAAGGAAATGGTTGGCGGAGGTAACGCACCGCTTTTATTTTCTGTCATCTCTGTGCTCTAGGGAAACAAGGAGGACTGTTTCTAAGTTATCATCTCCCTCTTCTTTTTGTGAGCTGCGAGGCTCCTCGTCCAAACGTGCCGCCTTGCTGACAAGCCGTAGCATCAGCGGCGGTCAGAGGTGCCCGCGCCTGTTCAGACACTCGGGCTAGAGGCCCACGAGGGCCTGGGGTCACTTGGGTGGCTGCCATGTCCTTGCCCCTCTCCGCGCAGACCCGTTTCCCTGGGGCACGGACTCGCAGCCCCGCGCAGCCCCGCGCAGCCCCGCACCCGGACCAGAGCCGCGGCCCGCCGCCCTCTTCGAAGCAGCCTCGCGGAGACCCTCACCGGAAACTGCGTCCCGGCTTGCGGCCCGCCCAGTCACCCCAACGCCACCGCGGGGTATCGCGACAGCGCTTCTGGGCCACCACCGCAGGATATCGCGAGAGCGCGTCTTGGCCGCCACCGCGGGGCATCCCGGAGCGTGTCTGGGCCGCCACCGCGGGGTATTGCGGGAGCGCGTCTGGGCCGCCACCGCGGGGTATCGCGAGAGCGCGTCTGGGCCGCCACCGCGGGGTATCGCGAGAGCGCGTCTGGGCCACCACCGCAGGGTATCGCGAGAGCGCGTCTGGGCCGGAAGCTGGAGCCACCAGCCTGTCCCGTGCCCTAGGAGGCTGAGAAAGTGCGTCACTGGCTTCCCCATTAGGGAGGCAGGTGTGAGCTCGGTCAGGTTGCGCTGCTGTGACAAATTATCGCAGACCGGCGGCTGAGAGGACGGACGCTACTGCTCGCAGTTCTGGAGGCTGAAGGCTGAGGTCAGGGCGCCGGCCTGCTGGGCGAGGGCCTCTCCGGGCTGTGTCCTGGGCCCTGCGTGGTGCACGCTGGGGAGGGCGCGGGAGCATGAGAGTGGGGAGAGGTCTCCCCATGAGGGCTCTAATCCCACCATGGAGGCCCCACTCTTACAACCTCATCTAAACCTAATTACCTCCCAAAGACCCCACCTCCAAATGCCATTCCTTTAGGGGCTAGGGCTTTAACATAGGAATTTGAGAGGAGGGGAACACAGTCATCGCACAGCAGGTATCATAAGGAGAGAAATTTTCCAAATACAGGAAGGGTGTTCCAAAGACTAGGCAGCCACAAACATGGCAATATCCACTATAGCCTTTCTCTTACACACCTTTCTTCTGCAGTGTCACCACATAGTAGTTGCTGAACAACATAGTAGTTGTTCTCTGTCCACGCCTATTTAGACTCTGCCATCTCCCATGCTGGTCTGTCTGCTAGGGTTCCTGTGCTTGGAATGTCTTCCCTTGGACCCTTTCCCTACAACCGGAGCTTCGAAAGGATGAACAATTGAATTCAACGTGCCAAGGTTCACCATATTCAACTTCAGCAATCAATTTCAAACACAGATATATGCAAATATTAATGCAAATATATTTCTAAGATATTATTCTCTCTTAAAAATCGATATTGACAGTGTACCCATTATATCAATATCAGAACCTTAGTGTTCCTTGCCCAGGGGATGCTTACAGAGTTTATCTGTATTGCTTGGTTTCTACCTAATGTGCTTATTGATGTTAGTTTTTTGAGAAGCACATTTAATAATTTAGAAGCAATAAGGAAAAACATTTTTACATAAAAATTTAAAAACCCTTTTGTGACAAAAACATAAAAACTAGAGTGACAATACACTGGGGAAATATGTGGAATTTAAATCACAATACAGAATACAAAATTATCCCTAATATATAAATCTGCATAGAGTTTCCCAAAACCATAGGAGGAAGAAAAACCCTAGAGAAAAATGAGTAAGAAAGCAATAGACAATTCACAAAAAAAGAAAAAGATTCTTAATTGTATGAAAAGATGCACAACCTTGTCATCTGAGAAAGGTAAATTAAAACTATTCTAAAACTTTCTAAACTATCTAAAAGTATTCTAAAACTTTCGACTAAGATGTATTAACAAGAACCAGATTTATCCTCCCACTTGGAAGTTTTATTTAAGTGGAAGAAAGATACAAAGTTTTCCAAAGATACTGGACATTAGGCAACAAAGCACAGTGAGCCTGAAAGATGGGGTGAGCCTACAATTGCCCCACTTTCTCTGTTGAAAGACTTTCTGGGCACTGATGCAAGGAACCCAGGAAGAGCCCAGGGGATTTAGGGGTGGCCAGAGATCACAGAGCAGAGTACCAGAGAGAGGACTGCTGCAGAGATCTGGGCAGCAGTCCTCGATTTTTCGAGAGCCACGCTCGATTTTTCCATAGACTACCATCAGCACATGCATGTGAGAAAATCACTTGAGGCCAGGGAAAGAATCACCAAAAAGGATTCCAGGGGACAGTATTCAGTGCTCCTACCAACCTGGGAATAGTGCTGTTTTCCACCAGCTGAACTTGAAAACCTTGCAATTCAGAAGTCATTCAGTAGAGGACTCATAAAGATCTTGTCTCAATAAAAGACACCTGCACTGGAATGTTCATTGCAGCACAATTCACAATTGCAAACATGTGGAATCAACCCAAGTGCCCATCAGTTCATGAGTGGATAACAAAATGTAGTGTACCATAGGGTACTACTCAGCCATAAAAAAAGATGAATTAATACTTTTGCAACAATCTGGATGGAACTGGAGACCATTCTCCTAAGTGAAGGATCACAAGAATGGAAAAACAAACATGTACTTGCTATCAAACTGGAATTAGCCAGTGAGCACATATGTGCACAGAGGGAAGTAAAACTCAGAAATCAACCAGGTTGCTGGGGGGAGGGGCAAAAAACAACCTAATGGGTACAATGAACACTATTTGGGTGACAAGCTCACCTATAGCCAGGACTCAAGCATTACAAAAGCCATCCCTGTAACCAAAAACATTTCTACCCCCTCAATGTTTGGAAATAAAAGAAATAGTGGAGAATAATTAGCTATAAACACTGCTCTAGTCCCATTTAATAAATCTTAAGAAACAGACTCAAATGCATCAAAGTATTTCCAAATTCTTAACTACATACTAGAACAAAGCTCAAGAATAGTTAGTTATAGGAATACAAAAATACCCAGCACCTGATGAGCTAAAATGACTGGCCTTCAATCGAGGAACATCAGGCAAGCAAAGAAGTGGGAAATGTGATGCAAAATGAAGAAGAAAAGAAATCAACTGAATTCAACCCAGAACTGAAACTATCAAAATTGTTCCTGCTACTTGGGAGGCTGAGGCAAGAGGATCACTTCAGGCCAGGAGTTCTAAGTTTCAGAGTGCTATTATCATGCCAGTGAATAGCCACTTAACTCTAACCTGGGCAACATAGAAAGACCCTGTCTCTAAAAATAAAAATGAAAATAAATTGGTGTCACTAACACATTCACTAGAAGGGAATTTATGGCACCAAATGCCAGTATTAGAAAAAAAGAGAGGTCTCAAGTCTAAAACCTCAGATTCCACCTTAAAAAACTAGAATAAGGGGAACAAATTCAACCTGAAATAAGCTGAATAAAGGAAATAACAAAGACAAGAAATCAATGAAATAAAAAGACAGAAAAACAGTAGAGAAATCAATGAAACTATAAAGCTAATTCTTTGAAAAGATCAATAAAATTGATAAACCTCTAGCCAGGCTGATCAGGAAAGAAAAAGAAAATAGGAAAGAAGGACAAAGAGAAGAAAGGAGGGGAAAAAGCAAGGAAAGAAGGACACGAATTACCAATCTCAGAAAGTAGAGCAGTGACGTCACCACAGGCTCGACAGAAATCAAAAGAATAAAAAAAAATCATCAACTAATGTATTATTTACACTAATAAGTTAAACAACTTTGATTAAATGAATAAATTCCTTGAAGTACTTAAACTACCAAAGATTATTCAGGAAGGAATAGATAAGATCTATATTCAAAAAGAAATCGAACTTTCAGTTTAAAGCCTTCCAGTAAAGAAAATGCCAGGTGCCAAAATTCACTGGTGAATTTGAACAAATATTTAAGAAAGAAATAATACAATTCTTCTCACATTTTCAGAAAAGTGAAGTGAGAATATTCTTTCCAATTCATTTATGAGGTCAGCAATATCCTGATTCCAAAACCAAAGATATTACAAGAAGAGAAAACTGCGGATCAATATTCCTCATGAACTTAGATCCAAAAGTTCTTAACAAAATTTAAGCGAATAGAAACTTATAATATATTGCAAAAAAAGTATTATATATCATTATCAAATTGAGTTTATCCCAAGAATGCAAAGTTGATTTAATATTTTAAAATCAATCAATGTAATTCACCCTATAAAAGAATGAAAAAGAAAAACCATCTGACTATCTCAATAGATGAGGAGGTGAAAAGAGAAAGCATTGGACAAAATCGAACAACCATTTCTTTTTTTCTCCCAACATCCATTTCTAATTAAAACTATTAACAACATAAGAATTGAAGGGCAGTTCTTCCATATCATAAAGAGCATCCATGAAAAACCTACAGCTAATCTCATACTTAATGATACTTAATGATGAACAATTGAATCAGGAATTAGTCAATTATGTCTGCTCTCACCACTTCTACTGAACATCGTCTTGGAGGTTTTAGCCAGTGCAGTAAGGCAAGAAAAATAAATAAAATGCATCCAGGTTGGAAAGGAAAATGTAAAATTGTCTTTATTCAAAGGCATCATGATTATCTAAATAGAAAACCTGGGCCAGGCGCTGTGGCTCACGCCTGTAATCCTAGCTCTTGGGAGGCCGAGGCGGGCGGATTGCTCAAGGTCAGGAGTTCAAAACCAGCCTGAGCAAGAGCGAGACCCCGTCTCTACTATAAATAGAAAGAAATTAATTGGCCAACTGATATATATATAAAAAATTAGCCGGGCATGGTGGCGCATGCCTGTAGTCCCAGCTACTCGGGAGGCTGAGGCAGGAGGATCGCTTGAGCCCAGGAGTTTGAGGTTGCTGTGAGCTAGGCTGACGCCACGGCACTCACTCTAGCCTGGACAACAAAGTGAGACTATGTCTCAAAAAAAAATAAAAATAAAAAAAAATATATTAATAAATAAATAAATAAATAAATAGAAAACCTGATGGAATCTACAAAAAAGCCACAAAAACTAATGAGTGAGTTTAGCAAGCTTGCAGGATCCATGCAAATATACAAAAGTCAATTGTATTTGTGTACATTGGCAATAAAAAAATGAAAATTCTAAAAGCAATATAATAATATGGAAAAATATTTAATATTTATGGATATTAAATATAAAATATTTAATATTTATGGATGAATCTGACAAAAGGACCCTGAAAACTAAAACACTGATGAGAGAAATTTTAAAAGACTTAAATAAATGAAGAGCTATCCTGTATCTGTGGGTTGGGAGACTCAATAGTGTTAAGATGTAAATTCTTCCTAAACTGATCTATAGATTCAACACTGTCTGAATCAAAATTACAGCAGGTTTTTTGTCAAAATTAACAAGTAATTCTAAAAGGTATATGGAGGTGAAAAGGATTATACTAACCGAAACAACTTACTTTGTAAAACAAATGTATATATCTAACCTGAGTTAAGACATCATAAAGCTACAATAATCAAGAAACTGTGCTGTTGGTGTCAAAATTTTAACTAGATCAACTGAATAGAAGAGAGAATACAGAAATAGACTCATTTATATGCATATAACTGATTTTCAACAAAACAATTCAATGGATAAAGAAGTCTTTTTAAAAAATGATGTTGCAATAATTGCATATGCAAATAAAGAAAGAACTTTGACACATAGCTTGCACCATATACTACAAAAAGAACAAACCTCAAAATGGATTATAGAT